AGAAATCTTATATCATTTATTTTATCTTGAATAATCAAATATTGCTGTTTGACTCATTTAATTTCTTCTTCAATGATTTTATGATCTTTTGGAGCTTTTAGGTTGCAATTTGCATAGTTATATATTCAAATTTTTCTCTTCATAATTTGTTATAATGAATGTACATTAAATCCTCATAATTCTCTGCAGATATCATATTCTTTTGGAATAGAAATTGAAAAGATACAGAACTTTACTTATGAAAATAAATCATTTTGTTTAGTTATTTCCTATCTGTAATGAATAATAAATATGTCTTTCAACTTTCAAAGGCCTATTTTTCTGGCTCTACTCCAGTCGACAACTTTCAAAATATCTCTCAGAGGCTGGATGTTTCGGACTAGAATCTTACCTACAACACCATTAAATATGTGGTGCACCTCTGAGCCTATTTGCAAACAAATTTTTTTTTAACTTTTGGTTTATCATTCTGTTCTACCCACAGGATGCAATATGTTGACCAGGAGTGTGGCTATGAATAAGAGTTTGTGTATGTTAAGATTATGATATCTCCATTATTAACCACCAGTAAGAATGACCCAGTATACTATTTAGTTTTGATAACATGATAATATTATACAACCAATCTTGTTAAAACATGTACACTGGGTCACCTCACTTTTCAATGACTGAGATTTATCAACTCATGTCAAGTTGCCTTAAAGGAGCACCTTCACTATCTGTACGACCAATCATTCCTTAGTTTCAGAAACAGGAATTGTTTTAGCTTACATAATCAGTAATAGTGTTCACAGCTCATTGTCAAAATTTTAGCCTTCAAATCCATGTATATCCATAATTATTCACGTTTGAAAGTTAAAAATTCATCTCGAATTTTAGAAAGACTATGCCATATATAAAAAGAACCCACATATATAGGAATAGACAGTGAAATTTCTATTTTGAGTTATATTTGAAGGCATTATGCGGTTTTTGTGTGTTTTAGTACTTCTTAGGCTAATAAAGCACAATAAAAAACCAAATCAATCCGTGAAAATGCTGACTGTTCCCCTTTAAATAAGGGATATAGTCGTTTGAATATTGCTTTCCCAGTCAAGAAAACTCAACTTCCGCTCTCAGTATAACTTGTAAGTGCTAGAAAACAGAAAAAGAATTGGTCAATGCTAAACAAAAATTGATTGGTGCTGGACTGGCTGGGATATACCAATGAATTTTATAGTTATTTCAGTCTCAGAAATATAAATATGATAGAGAATATGATCCAAATATTTGTGAATTTAATACACTTTGTCAGAATAAGTTATGTACACTTATTTATATTTTAAACCTTTTTCAGTATAGGATACATTTATTACTGACTTTACACAAATAGTAAGCATGTTGTTTTACACCTATTAGCATTTCAGACATATTTGTTACACTTATGGTGCACTTATTGGCATTTTGGGCTTATTTATTATACAATATTTTTGACATAAGAGTTTCTACGATAAAAGATATTCAATGGTCCCTTTCTTATCTTCTAGACTACAAAAAACCTGCCTTGAATACAAAATACTTGAAATGAAAGGACCATTATTTAGAGTATGTAGTCATGGGTCAAGTGTATGTTTGGTTTTATTTGTCTGACAAAATGTTAAACAGATTATGTGAAAGACTTGTAATGCTAAGAAAAGGTGATGAACCTTCAGTGGTTACAGGCATCACACAAGTGCATTCTCATATAAGCTCTTTCTTTCTGATCACACAGAGTAAATAGAAACCAGTTGATGGTACTGTTCTTCTGAAGAAAAAAAAAATAACCGAGTATGATCAGAAATTGAAAACAAAACTCCTAATTGCAAGTTGGCAATATATCAGGAGCAGCATATTAAGAAGTATATCAATTATAATCCAGAAGTACAATGTCAGGTGTTCCAGATGAATAAATCAACCCCACAGCTGTTAAACACTAGCTGATAAAGTGTATATATAGGTGGATCCAGGTTGACTCATTTAACGCATTTGATTGGATCCGTCATAGTCAACCAACAATGGCTTGACTATCAGGTATAATGTCTAGAGAGACAGACTTGCAGGAACTTCTCAATTATCTGTGAGCTCAGGTTATCTTATCCAGTGATTGATGAGATTGTTAGCATTTTAATATTTTGTTAAAATTGGTATTTTCATGTGGAAAGCTTCCAGTTCAAGAATACAATGCTATTGGTGCACATACTTTCAATCATTGAGGTAGACTACCCTACGGGGTTTCACTGATAAATAATATTCAGATACACAAAATATCAAAATTAGAATGCAGATTATTGACCCAGAATTGAAGGAAATTTTCTAACAAGAAATAGCAGGAAGAATGGTTCAGACCAAACAAATTAAAACAACAATTAACTTACTGTGATTAGAAGTGAACAATAGTCAATAACTATATCTAAACTATATAATTTCTAATAGTGGTGAGAGACAATTAACAGTCTGTCATTTAGGTAATGGGGCAGAATAAATGAATTAGTTATACACAGGGACTCAAACCCTGGGGAATTCTGATGCATTGACAGCTATTTCTACCTTGCAACATATTGAGATGTTAATTATACATCATAACTAATCTCAACAGTAACTGCATCAATTTGTTATTCATAATTTACTTGATTGGATGGATTGACTGCCTGCGGTCACAGAATGTGCAATATGTTAATTACCATATTAGATTCTCTTCAAATATTAAAAGTCTTTGATTTCATTTTGAAGCGTTTTGTGGTTTCTCATAGAAAAATATTCTGAGTAAAATTTCTGAATATGCAATAAAAGCCACATATTTGTAAAGTTGATCTGTCCATGAAGTGTGCAATGGTGTATTGTCCAATCTGCATCACTGACATCGGGAAACCAGACTGGATATTATCTCAACCTATGATGGGATTGAGCCCGAGACCAACAACCATGAACAGATTTTTAACTTGTGCATTGAAACTATAAAAATATTCTGAAAGTTTTAGTCTCAAACAAACATCCCTACCCATGAGAAACATGGTAATGTTTAGCACAATTGATTCCAGTAAACTCTGATTTTATTGCTCTGGTTTGTCAGAGAACTTAATTGAACCTGATATTAAGGTGAATAGATCAGCTAGTTGATGTTATTGTATTTATTTAACATAATTGCTATAATTATAAATCATTAGTATAACAACAATAATTCATTTATTGACAACAGTTTGACTTGTTTCATAAATACCTTGCCAATTAAAACAGTTTTTCAGCAATGTTTTTATAGGCTTACATGACAATATGGATGTTTATTGGTCCATGGACAATCATCAAGCCACAGTTTTCTGGATAGTGATAAAAGTTTCTGTTTGAAAAAAAAAAATGCTGATAGACTTAAATATCTTTGAAAAAAGATAAAACCAAATGGACTAGATAACACAAGGAATACTCCTCCTTTACTTAATAAGGTGCGGTGTAGTATAGCATGAATTCTGGACAATTATAATTTAAGTCATTCTATTCAGGCTATATTCTCCAACATTAAAAAGATAGCAGGGTAACTCAAGAGAAAATCACCAAATAGTAAGGATTTGTAGGGAAAATGGGGTTAATGCAGTCGACCAAGGTTCCTGAAAGGGGCAATACTAATAGTAAGTAAATGGTTGAAAACCCCTGTTGTAGAACAATGAAAGACCAGGTTAACATACCCTGTATTACCAAATCAATTTTATACAATGTTTCAACACCTAGTATTATCATCAGCATATATAACTCTGTTAAAACAAGATTGTCGTCTGATAATTTTGAATTTGAAATTGTTTATTGTATATTTCCAGTTAATTGATGATATTTTAACCATGTTATAGCAGGTCTGGTTTCTATCAGTAGATACAGATTGCTCTTCTCTTCTATGACAGTCCATTATCACCATGTTTGTTATGCTTATAACTTAATAACAATCAAATATCAAATTTAAAATTCAGAATTAAAAAATTAAATATAGGTTCAATAATAAACTCTTAATATAGGGCCAAGCAAATGAAATTAATTGGATTTCAGACACTCAATAGGTTGTTCCCTGTCAGCCTTTCTTTGTTGACTGCATCAGGAGGAGAAAAAAGTGTTGCCTAACAAAAGATGCCTGAAAACCATTAAGTTTTATTTGTTTGGCATTGAGATGACATACATTAGTTTAATCATTGCATAATGGAATGTCTTACACGTGATTTGATGAACAAGATCTGGCTCATTCTGTACAATAGGATTGAAACGCATTTAATGGTTATACAAAGACAGCATATCTGGTAGTGGCAGTTTATCTTTGCTAGATCCATATGTATTTTGTTAATAAATCTGCCAAGCTGAATTTTTTAATGGTTAAAAATACAAGTCCAAAAGTTGGTATGCCTCTTGATATTGCACTGGTATACTTTGTAAAACAACTACTGGTCCTTTGTGAAATCAACAAGAAACTCTTGCTCACAGATTTCTAATTGTATTGCTTTATTTGAAGTTATGAATTCATTTTATCGACTAATAAGAATCTACATCTAATTGAAGTTTTATCTTTCTGAAATAATTTAATTCCGATAGCCTAGGATCTTAATTCAAACCATTTGGAAACATCTTTGAAGAGTGTAATCTTGTTAACAAAATAATAGAGAAATATAATCCATTTCTATTCCCTTGTTAGCATACTGTTTCAAATACAACATATTTTACTAAAATATTAGTTTTCCAAATTTCCATTGCAGACCAATTAATTTATTAGAAATGAAGGCAAGTGACATTTGATGTTATTACCTAATATAGTGATCTACTGGAGTGGGATTAATAATTGATAAATAAATCAACATCCCCACTGTGGTAATTTCATCACAATTTTTATAATCATTCTGATCATTTTTCATCTGTCTGCAGTTGGAAAATATAAACTCTGCTAATCTGAACTCATTGATCTTTTCTTTTTACATGACTGTCAAGTTCCATGAACTGACGTTAGGCTGTAAAGTTCTATGAGGTGGTATTTGGCAAGAAAGTTCAAAAGTTCTATGAGCTGGTATTTGGCAAGAAAGTTCAAAAGTTCTATGAGGTGGCATTTGGCCAGACAGTTCAAAAGTTCTATGAGGTGGCATTTGGCAAGAAAGTTCAAAAGTTCTATGAGGTGGCATTTGGCAAGAAAGTTCAAAAGTTCTATGAGGTGGTATTTGACCAGAAAGTTCAAAAGTTCTATGAGCTGGCATTTGACCAGAAAGTTCAAAAGTTCTATGAGCTGGCATTTGACCAGAAAGTTCAAAAGTTCTATGAGCTGGCATTTGACCAGAAAGTTCAAAAGTTCTATGAGGTGGCATTTGGCAAGAAAGTTCAAAAGTTCTATGAGCTGGCATTTGGAAAGAAAAATCAAAAGTTCTTTGAAGTGGCATTGGCCAACTGTTGGCCACCCTAATGAAATGTGAAATGATCTGCATGGAATAAGTATACAGGTACACAAATTTGAGTACTACTGTGCATAGGTTAGCGGCATTTGCCCTCTGGCTACAAACAGAAAGAAATTGATTACAACAATTATGTAATAATTTAAGAACATAGTTTCCCTGTTGTTATTGTCAACGATACATATTTACACTCCTTCTCTTTCCTTTTTTACTTATTGTTTAAGACATAGTTAGGTGTTTCAATCATAACATAAACTAATGTAGCCTACATAGATATATTGAGTCCAATAAAACAAACACTCCTGTCATTCAGAAAGTAGTGTAAATTCTTGTTATTATATTTTGATAATACACCAGGATATGGTACCCCACACAGAACAAAGTATGAATCTAAGCTGATTATGTTGACCACATTCATAATTTGTTTTATTTGGTCTTCAAACGGTTGTTGAAATTAAAGATCTGGAAAGATCAACGTCAAGTGAAATCATGAGGTTGCAAAAGGTAATGAAGGAGATGGTATACCTTCGTAAAAACTCCCAAGATGAGGCTTGTTTAGATTCTCTGCTGTCATACTTTGACAACACATATTATGGTATTTAAGGTCATTACAAATAACAAAATACTATTAATGATCCCCTTTAAAAAGAAGCAGTATTAATTTCATAAGATTTTTGGTGAGCAATTGTTTTATTTTCATTTCTTTGGTGAGCAATACTGTCTGATATTTGGTGAGCAATACTGTCTGGTGAACAATTGTCTGGTGAGCAATACTGTCGGGTGAGCAATACTGTCGGGTGAGCAATTGTTTGGTGAGTAATAATGTATGGTGAGCAATTGTCTGGTGAGCAATACTGTCGGGTGAACAATTGTCTGGTGAGCAATACTGTCTGGCGAGCAATACTGTTGGGTGAGTAATTGTCTGGTGAGCAATACTGTCTGGTGAGCAATACTGTTGGGTGAGTAATTGTCTGGTGAGCAATACTGTCTGGTGAGCAATACTGTCTGGTGAGCAATACTGTTGGGTGAGTAATTGTCTCAAGAGTAACTGTTGGTATCCCAACTTCACCAGCCTTCTTGCACCAGTGACCATTTAAGACTTCATACAAGTTAATATTTCCAGATAGTGTTTGTTCAAGTGATTCAGATATGTGAATTCTCAGCAGCATTATTCTGAATGTTGTTTTCAAATAAACCATGCCAACAAACCAGAAACAAAGTTAACACATACTTACGTTATTACATAGCATTATTACATAACATTATTACATAGCATTATTACATAGCATTATTACATAGCCAGTGTTTATGTTAAATGTTATGTGTTAAATGCAGTTTTTAGTTTATAAACAAGCCATTAACCTTATGAATGAAATTAATTTCATTTGATGAAATCATCAAATGTTTAGGAACTGTTATTTCTTCAATACATCATTTAAACTTTTTAATTACAAACTCTTTGAAGTCCTAATAACAACAAGAACTTGACTCTATTAACCAGTGCAGCTTTGTCTGATGCAAATTTCTTAATTTTCACCTGGTATTTTTAGAATTGAGGATACCTTTTTTCAAATAAGTTTCTGCTAAAGTGTCTTTCAGGAAATTCACAGCAAGCATTCAAAGCAAGCAAGCAAGCAGTAAGCAGACATTATTTTGTACACAGTAATATATATGTAATTCTTGAAGTTTGCAGTGTATGGGTGTATTAACTCATGTAATGTATTTACTAGTAAAATGTTTATGTATAGAAGAAAATGTGTAATACACTCCCTACATTACAATGTACTTTCTACCTGTCATAGAGTCGTCCCCGGTTGTTGATTGTTGACTTTAACAGTAAGTTGATAAGACTGTCAATTACCTAACAACCTGTAAAAAGGTCAACCCAGCCAGAAAAAAGGGGTCAGACAGTTCTTTGTCATGTAAATTGAAGATGTTGTCTGTATGTGTAGCTAGAAAAAATAACAATTTGATACATTTTTTAAACTTAAAGATGCAGTTGTATGTAAATTAGCTAGCTTGTTTTGTCAAGTTTGGTAATTTTATACCTAATTTTATACCTAATTTTATACCTAACTTAAATTGCCTGCTCTTTGAGAATCTTTTTATTTTTGCAATAGTAATCATTACATGCTTATTTTTAGTGAAATTGCAAGAATCACAGAAGTCTGACTTAAAACTGGGAACTCCAAAAGCTGACAGTATTACAACTGTAAACCATTCACTAGAATAAAACCCAGAGTTAGGTGACAAAGAGTTTGGAAATGAGCCAATCATTTGTAGTCTGTAAAAAAATAACAGCTTAGTTTGCAGAAAAAATTGACAATTTCAACTGGATGAATTCTTCAAAGTTTCTGTTTGAGAAAAGATATCAAGTTTGATTATTTAAATCTTGTATAAATTGTGTTGTGTCAGTCATATGGACCTGAGAAGTGTTTCAATTACAGTTAAAGATTACCCTTGTTTAAAGATAGTTTTATTTCAATTAAAACTCAAAATTCTCCCACGATTTTAATCTTCTATATCACATATCTTTTATTTCAACCTGAATGAATTTTAAATGAAAATTTCATAGCGAATATTTTTACTAGACAATACACTTCTATGACAGAAATAGAGCACAAAATTTACAAGAAAAAAATGAACAAAAATAAAGGAAATAAAATCAGAATGCCTCCTCTTGTAAAAATATTTACGAAGAATATAGGACATTGGCATTAGCCCCCTCTTTTGCAAAGGGGGTAGATTCTTTTTGAAACAAATGCTCCTTCATGAAAAGGAATGTGTGGTCCCAGTGGGGTAAAGGGAAGGGGGGCATTTGCTCCCTAGAAATATGGTTTGTGTCTCCACTTCATTTCTAACCAATTTTCTCTGAAAATACTCCAAAATTTCTTGTGAAAGAACCCTTTGGTGCTTCCATAGAGCTGCCACATTTTGAATCTCAACAGGTGTTCCCTCAGTCTGCCCCCTATTTGTACCCCAAGTTACTTGTGCTGCCACTAAAATTTACATTTTCATATAAGACTCTAATTTTTATTTTATTTGTGTATTTCAGATTCCAGTATTATTCCACCATAACCAACATTCTAACAATATAGTAATACAAACTAAATCATTGTATCACCAAGCATTAGACCTAGTCAAATATGAGGTTGTTTCCCTTGGATCACATAACTACATACAGATTCATATTGTAAGTTTATCATTATTCTGATCTGTAGATTCTGTAGAATATGATCACCCTATAATCAAATGAATTTAATGGTTACTTGTTTATTTTCTGAAACAAGGGAATCTCTTGTAATTTTTAACATTAACAGTGAAGATATAAATTTTTCATGCTATCCCATCTAAAACAATTTATAAGTTTTTTTTTTTAACGTTCAATTCATTTTGTCTTGCAATGCTTAGCCACCACTTGCCACTAGCTTGTACAAAGTTGGAACCATACCTATGTATGGACAGCCCCATCGCCAGGAATCAATTGATTCTGGGGCTCAGATTTTGTACTCAGAAACTCAATTCTGACAATTTTGAGGTACCAAAAACGTATCAAAATATATATCTTTTTGATTTTGTACGAAGACACTGTAGATGAATCAATCTCTGCTGAAATTAAGGTTTTGCTGGGGCTTAATTCTCACTTGCCTGGGCCCAGCCCCCACGGACCCCACCCTAACAACAGGGCTGTATTAAAAGCCAAAGACAGTACCAAAATCACAATTTCCATGTACAATGTAGGACGAATACATATCAAAAAATCAAAAATATTAATGTGTAAATTATCATATATTCATTATGGACGTCATCTTCTTCACTTGATTCACTAATTTTTATCAATTTTAGGGAGAAGCTACCAAGACTACTTCATCAACTTCAAAAATATTCCTATTCATTGTTTTAAGTATGTTACTGTTAGTTTTCTTTGTCGTGTTGAAAGGTAGGTCAGAATTCTTTTGTATCATGCAACCTAATACAGTACATTCAAATACAAAATACAGAGATAAGTGAAACAAATAGAACCTATCAGAACAAGTTAACACTGTTAACATCATCACATAATATATTTCACAATGTCAATCTATTATGAACTTTGTATCTAGTGATGGCAATAGCCACCTTTCTTGTATCATAGACATTTGTAATGAATTGATTTTATTGGATTGTACACTAGTGAATACAGCCAATCAGAGGCCTTGATAGAAATATCTGCCGGCACAAAGCCATAATGTATTCCATATACATTACAAAGTCCGTAATAGCTTGATTGATACACCTATTAATAAGGCTTAGTTTCTTTTCCATCAAATAAAACTTTCTCCAAAGACTTTATTCATCCCAAGATGTGTTTTATTTTCTCAAGTCACTCCTTGAACTATGTAATAGAATTTGCTTGTTCAAATTGTAGATAACTTACCACTTATGGTACCATTTAGTTGAATCTTGATATAGAATATCAGGGAAGTCAGCCTGAAATTATAAGAATATATTCTTAACAGAAACATGAAATATACTCATAGATCAATACCAATCATAGATCAATACCAATCATAGATCAATACCAATCATAGATCAATACCAATCATATTTCAATACCAATTATAGATCAATACCAATCATATATCAATACCAATCATAGATCAATACCAATCATAGATCAATACCAATCATATGTCAATACCAATTATAGATCAATACCAATTATAGATCAATACCAATCATATACCAATACCAATCATATATCAATACCAATCATAGATCAATACTAATCATAGATCAATACCAATTATAGATCAATACCAATCATAGATCAATACCAATCATATATCAATACCAATCATATATCAATACCAATCATAGATCAATACCAATCGTAGATCAATACCAATCATAGATCAATACCAATCATAGATCAATACCAATCATAGATCACATTATGGTTCGTAAAATTCCAAGTACATTAAAAATAAAATTTAACTTTCTTTCAATATTTGAATACCATATCTATAGCCTGGAATATTAAACCATATTTCAGCTGATGATGGTTTTGATTTTTTAAATTTCTTTTCAGCAATGATGCATCAGTTATCTGTTTTCTTTACCCAGAATTGTTTTTTTCTCTAAGATAATTAGAAGTTACATCAGACTTTTGTTTGGAGTAGGTCAACACAAAAGATTTTCATGATTCAAGCAATCTATGGCCTGATGACGGTTTTTATATTTGAATCATCTTCAACAATGACCTGATGCAGCACCTATTTGGGTTTAACATATTTGTCTTTTTTAAATGAATTGAAAGTTACATATCACTTTTTTGTTTGGAGTAGCTCTTGAAATCTTCAGAAAAGGTCTTTTGATTCCAGTGGTCTTGAATTGAATAGAAAAGTTTTAAGATTTTTTTTTTAAAGATTTTTGTTGCGTCTCATCAATTTCTGGAACTTTGTATAAAACTTTCAAATATTAATCATAAAATTATTTATCAGACTGTATGCATTGTGTTATTTCGTGCTTGAGAGGATACAACATAAAATCTACATGAAGAAGAAAGAAAGCTTATTGAATAATGGCGCCAATCCGCCTCTCAACTTGAACTCTTCAAGTTTGATCAAAGTTTATTTTGTAAAGCGTGTATTGCTTGCATAATAAATAGAAAGTTATCAGTAAGGGAATTATTGTCAGCCATATAACATGTTCTTCAATACCTAAACTATAAACATGTCCAAGATCTGTCTAGTGAAATAAAAGACCTAATTTGATGACTTTCCCTAAAATATAATTTTTTTATATTCTTTGTGAAGGTTATGGCTTTGTCGTTATTGAATTTTGAAGAAACTGATTTGTAAACCCAGCAACTTTTTGATTGAAATCTATATTAAGTAACATTCAGATGGAAAATAAGAAGGAGATTTTGGGGCAGTGTATGTTTCACCGCACACCTGGCACAGCCATGGCACCCAAATAGTGGGAAGGTGGAGTTGTATTTTTGATTCAAGATGAGGGTAAATACAGGAGGCTATAATATTGCTATTTGAGTACAGTTTTTTTAAAAGTGAAAAAGCTTTGGCACCCCTTCTGGATCTGCTGCTCATAGGTGAGATTTTGTAAATTAATCAAGAGTAATATTTTAAGGACAGTTTTAGGAAGATGATTTTTTAACATCAAAGCCTCTTTGTTGTCAGTTTGACATTTTGTAAGTACAATAATTGAGTAATCAATATTGTTACTCTTAGTTTTAACCTTCCCAAAATGGAGGTAATTTTCTCCTCCACCTCCCTTCCATTATCATCATCAAGCTTTTATTGTAACCTTTCAAGAGAAACGCTATATTGCCTCTCTAAGCACGTCATTAGTGTTCTAAAATTACATCTATGTGCCAACTCGAGCAAATATTATGGCTTTATAATAAAACTCTGGTATAAAAAGCTGGTTAAATCCACAAGTTAATTGATTGAATGGACAAAAGAGTTTTGTGAAGTTAGATCTCACCAATCCTTCTTCTTAACTCAATCACTATCGATTTCACTAACATACCACCACCAATTGAGCAGTGGGAGAATTTAACGTAAGCACTTGATTCATGTCGCTTGAGGAATCAAATTTATTTGCATGATTACATTTCTTGATTTGGTAGAGATTTTTTTTCTACTAGTTGGTATCTTTCTCTGAGATTGGCAGATTTAGAAAGGTTCCAGGAAGTTAATTGGAATTGAAGAAAATGTTTAGTTTTTGATTGACTCTTTTCTGATTATTTTGTCAGTTACCAGTTTATAAAGTTATAGAAAACAATATTTTTTATGTCATGAATCCGTTTAGCTTTTAGTTCTATAGATTGATGGGTGTCATTATGACAATCATTTGAGCTTGTTTTCATTATATAAACTTTCACATTGAACAAGTTTACTGACATGTCAAATAATGTTTCTGCCAATTTCAACCATTTCATTTTAACAAACCTAGTTTATTATTGATAGTATATGTCCTCACAGTAAGCATGCACTCATCATTAGCAACACCAAGGCTTGCTATCCAGTACATGAAAACTACAGTATAATCAACTACAAAGGGTTTGAGGCTTAACAGGTTTGATGTAAATTGTACTTTGTGAAATGCATCACTCAATAACTTTAAGTATGGCCAACTGATAAAATCATCATAATCTACAGATTTCATGTTTTCATCATATAATTTTACCAATATATCTGCTTATTTTGGTATTGGTCCAAGTTGGGATTTGATTTAGGATCAAAAGATGTAAACTAAGATTGTCTGCTCTGTGTTTTATGATGTAAAATAACCCAGTAATATTCTATAAAGAAAAAGAACAATGTTTGATTCTGTTTGAACATGGGCTAATTATCACAAAACCACTTTTTTTCAGAAATTAAAGGTTCATTATTTAATTTCAAGGGATGTTTTGAAACAAAGAAAAAACAGAGACATGGTTATCTATGTGATAATTAGTTTTTGATCATTTGTGTTTATTTTCGATAACGTTTAGTCAATTTGGGTGGTATTTAATAAATTGATAAAAACATAAAAGTGTGTGATATTCACAGTTTTTTAACCACCAAAATTTTTATCTTAGATTCTAGGCTTGCCATCAATCTTATTAAATTACAGATCTAGATGCTTTTTTCTTGTATTTTCTGCAGGTTACTACGCATGGCATTGTTGATCTTCCAATATTCTTAATCTATTCAATTTGAGATTTGAGAAAAGTGTTAAATTTTGAAAAATATGTTGGTAAACAGAAATTTGTTTATAAATTTTATGCCAAAATGAATAGTATTATCTTTATCAAAATTATAATACAGCTTTAGAATGATTTGATATTCATTCAAAATGCCAACATAAATATAAAATTCGATCATTTTGTTTATTCAGGGGACAATTTTGAGCCAAAATTTGAGAGAAGTTTTCTGCTGATGATTAAATTCATATAGAAATAATCAGTGAAATTCAAGGTAAGAAGTCTGTAGGTTCCTTGCTGAAAATATAAAAAAACCTCAACAATTTATCTCAATTCTTTTGGTTCAAGTAAAAGGTGATTCATGTCTTTAAAACATTTCTGTCACAAAACATCGTGTAGCTTCACCATTAACTTTTTCTCAGGAAGTTTAATTGTATCATCCATTATTTTGAAAAAATGAAAAAAAGAGTGATGGAATGAAGATGATTAATTTCACGCTTTAGAAGATATTTTGTGAACATTAGTTAATCTTAATAAAGTGTCACACCACCCTCAATATAATTCTTTCAGACATTATCCAACCACACACAAGATGGATTATTGAAATAAAAAGCTCGTCAATCTACATTATGCCAGACTAGATTGTACTTGTCAGTGTAATAACATTCTTCAATCCTTGCTAAAAGCTTTCAAACAAAAAACAGTCAATATTTACGCTGTGTTGAAAGAATATCTTTGTTAAGATGGATTAAAGATTTTCATCAAATCTCAAGATATTTCTTTTCATCATTCTAGCTCAGATTTAGATTTGATCAAATGAAATTACAAATATTCTATTTTCTGCCATAACATAGCTTGCAGGCTATTATGTTTTGAAAGTGCCATGAATTGATATTTGTATATGCTATGATATAATATTTGAAAATACTGATGGGTTTATATTAACTGTGAATTATCGTTTGAAATGGTAAAACAGAATTACTTGCATTGGATTACTGGCTTTAGAGTTAGTTTTAGTATAGTTGGTTCAAGATTTATTTATTGCATTTAGGAAGGAGCAAGCAGCCACCATACACCCATCACCTCTCTTGTATTAAATGTTTAAACAAAAGGATGTTTTTTTTTAAATCAGAGTTCTATTCAACAGTTCCAAATATTTAAAGTATTCATTAATTATTTAACCTTATCCATATTAGCGGTTGTTCTAGTTAGACAAATGCTCGATAACAAGAAGGTCCAGAGTTCCATGCTGGCATAGGTCGGGATAATACCTTTGAATTTTTCAACCCAGTGTCCCTCTGTCAGTGATGCAGGTTGGAGAGACTGACATGATCTGATGGCAATGAACTGAGGCCCAGTGTGCTACAGGATGTGCACATGAAAGATCCATCGACAGTTGCAAATTAAAAAAGAGTGAGCGAATGCAGCTGTCCTGGCAAAATTTCTCTCATTGCACTCTGCATGGCATTGCCCACATCATTACTTGACAAACATGTATACTGTGAAGCGGTCATATCCATATCTTGTAATTCAGGGTATATGACAATTTATTTTATTTAAGCTCCATTATAAAAGGTTAATACATCCCAATGTTTTTATTCATTGAAAGAATGTAAGATCATGTCTAATATATTAATATGAGCCATAATACCATGATATTTAAATGATATTAAATAATAATAATCATCTTAAGTAAGCAATAATTGATATATAAGTATAAGTAATAGTGTATATATGTAAGAAGTAATAATATCTAAGTTATTGTAAGATCAGACTGTATTGTTGACGGAACATGTCTATATAATAATATCAGTATTCACAGAGTCATGTCAATAGAGGATCTTCTAGATTTGACCACCTTCAATATTGTCTACTATTCTATAAACTTGATACTTTCTGTACTTAATGATTAAACAACTTGGTTTGTCTGAAGATTGAAAGCTGTCTCAAGGATGACCAGACTGATTTCTATCATAACAGACTACTTATTCCTTGAACAACTTTGGAAACAAATGCATCAAGACATCTTGACTTCTACAAGAATTGGAAGGTTTTTGTTTATCAGGGACATTAATATCTTCTATTTGCATTTCATATCTGAAATTCTTGAAAGTTTCTAAGATTTAAGTAGCATTTAGGATAGAAATGTGAACTTCAGCTAGATATCCTTATTCTAATCCCTTAAATTCATTGTCATGCAGATCCCACAAATCATTTTGAACATTTTAGTACTTCAGAATCTCTGGAATAACAAGCACTGTCATATTACTCAATTTTGTCATATGAAAGTATCCAAGTCTTTAAAAATCATCCACAAATGGAAGATGTTAGAGCTGAGTGGTATTTGCAAGAATCTTAGGAACGGGGCCAAGTAGGGACCACAGGCTTGTCGTGGGCAGTGCAACCCCTGTTAAAACACCACTGGGACTAACGTGTGATGAAAAAAGGGTGGTACTGCTTGACAGGAAGTATACAATTAAAGGATATAAAAGGCTGATACCAGAGCCAACCTGAATTGTTATGATCATGTCTCACAACAGAGCATCTTATAATTTAATGTTAAAGAAGTAATTAAAATAGCTAGGGTTTGATAGAGAACAATATAGATCTAGTAACCTATACAGGTGCAGCACATCTCATCAATTTACATCCATGTTCAAACAACTTCATCAACTAAAGGTGTGAAAGTTCAAAAGGTGTTCTGATTTAAACAATGAGCATGTTCTAACAATAGGCATTAGTTTATCTTTGAAGTTTGATACAGTTGTTACTTTTAGATGAAGATTGATACATCCAGTATGGTATTTAGGACAACATGTCTCTTGACAAACCATACCCTTAGATGATGTTTGGAAGATTAAGTATACCTTTAAATTCAACATGCCTTTCTAGGAACAAGATAAACTGTTAATTTATTGTCATTATTCAATAAGCTGTAAATTATATAAAGTACAAAAGTTTTTCTAAACATGTGGTATTTCACTGCATGGTCTTGAGATTGATGTTTAAAGCATTTGGTATATATTTGAATACAGCATAACTCCTTTGCAGGCAAAACAAATTCTGGTATTTCCTCAACTACTTAACATTTGAAGTATCTAGTATACCTCTGCATATGGTATGAAAATGAAACGCCTTAATTTAAATTTGACAAAATATGCCTCTAATATACATACATATTGTACATATTGCCCTGTTCATGTTAGTTTAACCTTCAACAATTTTACAAAATATACAGTTTAATCAAGTACAGATATTTGAGAAATATCAATGTTCAATGAAGAATTATAAAAATATACTGATTATGTTTGTATATGGAGTTATTAACGAGGACGAACTACTAATTGTTATAGATTAATAAAATAAATAATTAACCATCAATATGTGTGGGTACTAATTGTTCTTCATGTGTCAGAAATAATAGATTACCTCCCTTCTTTATTTTAATTTGTACATCCTTTCATCAACACAGATTTCATCAGTGATTAATTACATTAATAACGTCCAATTTGTTAATTAATTTTCTGTATAAATTCTGTCAAAACAAAGAACATGGGTATTTTAACAATATAGAAATCTTATTGTGAAAATATCCTCAAACATATTTCCAGTTTGTATGATATTAGGATAGAGTTTGTTTTTGAATCATGGTTGTAATGAAGTCTATCTATCATCAAGAAAAAGCATGTTTTACTAACATTGGCCTTTACTCTTGGAATTGAACTTTCGGGGATTTTCAGTAAGCATACCAGTTTACAGGGTTTTGAGGTCTACTATAAAAAAACGTGTCGTCTAATTCCAGTGTTTTAACGGGCTGAGCCCATGTTTTAAGCAGCAGTTTTTGAATTTGTATATTAATAAACCAATTTTTTTACAACAGAATCTTTAAAAGTTTGGGTCGAATGTCTCTGTATTAGTGTTAATATAGACACATTATTATGATAATAATATAATTGTGTATTAAAGATTTTCTACAGCTCCATAGAACAATGTGCTAATCACTCAACAGACAACAGAAACAAATTGTGGAAAACAGCAAGACATAATAGAAGCCTGTCTGGTTTTAGATACAAATAAATAACCCAGACAGTTGAAGTGTCTGGTTCTAGAGGAAACTGACCACTTCCACATCAACAATAATAGATTGAATAATTGATTAACAACTTCCAATTTACACTTGAATTAATTACACCACCATTTTATTAACCCTGTCCTTGACTCAGACCACAACTCTTGTGTGCCTTATTAAATCTGGTTAACCCTAGCTTAATCAACTTGTTTGTAAACAATCACAACTGATTTGAAATTTTCCAGGTTTTCGTCCCTCAGAGACATACTAATTGAATATGGATGACCATTGATATATGTTTGGTTAAATTGATTTAGAGATTCATTTATCTACTTACTTAACAAAATAAATTAAAGATGGCCACCCACACGTCTCTGAGCTGCAAATAGAGTTGTTCTCAAGCAGGGGATCATAAACACTAGTTACAGATCTATGTATTAAATGTATCCAAGTCTCTAACTAACAGAGTCATTCTCAAGCAGGGGATCGTCAATTTGTACACTGGATACACATCTATGTGTCAAAATATACACTGGCATTATTTATTGCTATATCTGTTTGTACAAATCGATGCCATGGACTTAATTCTTATTCCATCTATAGGTAGTCACAGCCCTCTTTGTATACACATTCAGTTATTTTTCTGGCAAAGTGTAAGCTATTTTTTTTAAGCCTGGTTTTTAACTACATAGTGCCACTAGGTTGATAAAGAATACCGTGGGACCATGAAGAATTCACATATCTTATCTTGTGTTTTAAAGCTGACTAAATCTGCTTTCAAGCATTGATAAAAAAATATCTTAATTATTATTCCATCAACAATGATAAAATCAAAAAGTTAGTTGAAAGAAACCAGCCAGCTTTCAAGGCTGTAGCATTATGGAAGACAAATGAAGCAAAGGCTAAACACTTTTCAAATGATAACCAAACTCTAAAAGGTTTATTTTGATATTTTGTCTTTTGAAGCAACTCAAATCTCCAGTGTCTTTCTTACATTTTCAAACTTAATTTGATCAGTAAATATTTTTATTGAAATGACATAGACTGCTATAATAATTGCTTTCAGATCAACTAAAGTTATAGACTTAACTATGCACCATAAAATATCTAATTTTGGCTGGTAAATTTGACAAGTTGATAGCAGTATATAAGTGGTACAAATTCTATTGTTTCAGATAAGCATTGTTTTCGTATAGGAATTGTGCACAACAAAAAGAGCAGTGGACCTTTAGTGTAGCTTTTCAAGGTTGACTGAGTTCATTGGTTTCCTCTCAATTGTGAAATCACGAACAAGTGATTAATCATGTGCTTCGGCATCTTGAACGTTAATTTTATGTAGTGGATGACCATCACGGAGGAAGGAAATCAGAAGTTTTATGGTCACAGTGATCCTTTGTTTTCTAGCAGAACATCTCCGATAGAAAGCTATTATTCTGTATTTTTTTCTTGAGCCATTATAGAATAGAAGGAGCCAGTAGAAAGACGATTTGGTGACTTTTTTCGATTAAGTTTTCTCGCTGCTGTCAGACTGGATGATTGAGTTGCGGGAATCTGACAGATCTCATCTGTTGTTTAAAGTCTAGAATATTAAATTTCAAATCAAAAACTAAATTTAATATCATTGATGTGTTATCTCTGAATTGAGTTGAATTAACTAGCAATGTCAGGTCATTTTGGCTGGCTTCTATTCTCTTTCTTTCTCAGAGTTATCAATGGGTGTTCTTACAAAACAGATGTTTACCCTTAATTTTATAGTCTATTATTCATTTGCTGATGCTGGAATTATTCGGTCTCAAATGACACATGCATATTTTTTACCTTGAATTTCTAGAATTTTGAATTTAAGAGTTTCCATCAGTTCCAAGTCACGATAATCTTAACTTAAATCAAATGATATAAAGCTACTGTAACTGACTACAGTGTCAGTCATATTACTGTTTGGATTGACTAGACCTTTATATATGGTACCCAAACCAAAGTCTTCATACCATTGGAAAGAGTGTCCATCAGCCATTGTTTTAATATCTGTCAGCTATCTCATATTCTGCTATTTAGACTGCTTGAAATTGACCACAATATATAAGTTATCTTGGTATTTGTATTAAAAGTAAAATTTTTAATAAGTTTTGTTATTTGTATTGTATTGTACTGTTTTGACTCTAAATATTATAATTAGTTGAAATAAAGTTCTTATTCTATACAGGGTTGTAAATGAGAGATGCCTCACTTCTAAACAAAAATGTTCACAGGCGTGAGGCGTTAGGGGGCCACTGTTTACTCATTTATAAACTAGTGAACCCATCTTTAAGCGCTCCAGTTTTGAAACACCCGGTATAAACCAGAGAACCTATATCTTTAAGCTGAATACCTCAAGCTGAATATGATATGATCAGTATACTATGTCATTGTGAATTACATATCTCCAACTGTTCAGGTCTACATTTTTTGGCACTGTTTTAATGTGGAACTACTGAAATATATGTTTCTACAGATAAATTTCATGTCTTTATTCTAAACCGTGGTTTATCTTTGATAGGTAAACATGTATGATGAGAAGTGAACAAGATTAAGTTCAGGGGAGTGGGGGGATAGGGTAACATGTATGATGAGAAGTGAACAAGATTTAGTTCAGGGGAGTGGGGGGATAGGTAAACATGTATGATGAGAAGTGAACAAGATTAAGTTCAGGGGGGTGGGGGGATAGGGTAACATGTATGATGAGAAGTGAACAAAATTAAGTTCAGGGGGGGGGGGGGGGGGGATAGGTAAACATGTATGTTGAGAAGTGAACAAGATTAAGTTCAGGGGGAGGAAGGGATAGGTAAACATGTATGAACAACATCAAGCTGAGGGAGGGATGCATATTTGAGAACATTCAATGGATTCTTACAAAAATTAATAATGTTTTTTTTAATTAATCCAAAATATTTTCTGGCAGAAGCAATTTTGAGAAATTTGAATAAGAAAAAGAGTGAGAGGATAAGACAGCCATTCATTCAAAAGATCTAAAGATTCTAAAGAAATAAATAATATTTGACTGTGACATTTATCATATTAATAACAACCACTAAATATTTATGAAAGTATTTTCTGCCAGGAGACAGATTCATTCTTAGATTCTTCAGAAAATCAAAAAAGAATAAGACCCACAGAAAACTCTGGAAGTATTTAGTGTCTGATGAAGTTCTGAGAAAAATGAATGAAGTAAGATTTAATGGTGTCCAGATTAGATAATCATACAAACATCATTAATTTTATATTGTATATTTGATTCTTATGAAAATAAATATAATATGTAATTTATCTGAACAATATCATCTATTTATTATGTCTGGAAGTGATGGGTGTCAGAGCAATTCTTACAAAAATATATAAAAACGTCCTTGTATTTAAATATGAATGTATTTTTCAAATTATACATTCTTATCTACACTATGAATAACCCATTATATTATTCAAACTAACTGCATAAACAATACTCAACAATAATCACTAGAGATTAAGCCTGCATGCCTCGGCCTGTGCTTTAATTAAATTCCCAATATAATAAGGCTATTATTTTAAAAACTTGAACCTGGGGTGAGGTGATCTAGATGTTCGGACAAATTCCAATAAAAGACATGAAATTCCTCTTAAGCTTCCACAGAAACAGAAGAGGTTAAGACCCATTTTAATATAGAAATATGTATCGCCATCATGGTTTTGCAATTGTTTGAATTATATAACACATAAAACCCATAACCAGGATACAAGGATTAAATTGAAGGGACGGAATTGTTGATCTCCAGGACTAAGTACTTTGTTCTTACAAAATAATTTTCACAAAAGACAAATGTTGGTTAATTTATCTAATATAATTCAAGTATTGTATTTGAAGAAATAGTTACATATTCATGATTGTATGATTAATTTAATGATGATAATTATGTATGCTTTTCCTTAGGAAACTCTAGTTAAAATAGCACTGGAAAATGCAGTAGGTCTATAGAGCATTGGGAATCAGTGGTGAAGCCAGGTTTACGTCCGAGGGAGGGGGGCAAAATACCTGAGGTTGTCCGGATTTCTAACCTAGTTATGAGATTTTTCCCAAAAAACATGCCTTCGGGGCTGCGATAGGGTGCAGGTGAGAATATGTTGGGAATAGTTTTATTACCACACTATTTGGACATATATAATAAGCATCTAAACTCATGTAATAAGCATCTAAGTTCATGTTATATACATCTAAACTCATGTTATATACATCTAAACTCATGTTATATACATCTAAGTTCATGTTATATACATCTAAATACATGTTATATACATCTAAACTCATGTTATATACATCTAAATTCATGTTATATACATCTAAACTCATGTTATATACATCTAAACTCATGTTATATACATCTAAATTCATGTTATATACATCTAAACTCATGTTATATACATCTAAACTCATGTTATATACATCTAAATTCATGTTATATACATCTAAACTCATGTTATATACATCTAAATTCATGTTATATACATCTAAACTCATGTTATATACATCTAAACTCATGTTATATACATCTAAATACATGTTATATACATCTAAACTCATGTTATATACATCTAAATTCATGTTATATACATCTAAACTCATGTTATATACATCTAAACTCATGTTATATACATCTAAATTCATGTTATATACATCTAAACCTCATGTTATATACATCTAAACACTGAATGGAAGTAGAAGACAAAACTACTATGATATGACATTAGATATTATTGATTATTCAACCTATTTCAATCTAGTAGAATCAATCTACCCCTATCCCCTTCCTATCAGCTATAATTAAACCTAGTTTATCTCCTGACTAGGGTCTGTTTACACAAATTCATTTTATTTTGATCAATAATCCATGTCTGATGTTAAAATACCATTATGATGTTACGTAGAACAATAGGTTCAATAATATGTACTTTTAAAATTCGTCAGTCAAGTCACTATTTTTTGTATTTATGTTCCTCTTTGTCATGTTTGTTGTGTTTGTTATTCAGCCATGACAGATGTGGTACCAGGCAGGGTTTGCTTATTCTTCCAGACAACTGATACCACTTATCGTTATTAAATACTTCCTAATAGTATTAAAGGGGCAGTCTGATTTTGATCTGGTGTAAGGTTCTTTAAATAGTTAATAGAAAATACAACTCTTTTCAAATCCTTATAGACATTAAGCAAGAACAGATTTTTTAAAACTGTTAAAAAGCTATCATTAAAATATTTGAGCCATTAAGTTATACAGAAATATTCCAGCCTAGTTCAATATAATCTTGTATTTTAAGATGAGGTAAGATGTAATGGGGTGTATATATAATTAAACACACACCCTGGTGTATGTACCTCTCATCAATTGTACATTGAACTGTCTGTAAGTAAGGAAGCAAAACAATCTAACTGATTAGATGCCTGATCTAGATGGTCTATTTCCAGTATCTTCACTCAACACAAGTCTTCAATTCCAAGATTTCTGTCTTTTTACAGAAAAAGTTAGCAGGCAATTTACGCTTGTCTTTATCAATATCAATACAGACTTATTCTAATCTATTATGTTACAGTTAATGTCAATACTCAGACATTTCAAGTATCAATTTAAGCATTGCATGTTTGCACACAATTCACGATTCAATTTGAAGATATATTCAGCTTCATTAGACCATCGTTCAGAATTAAATGTATCTTTTAGCGATGCTCTTAAGATTTATTAGTGTAATTTCAGGAAAGGCTAGAGAATGGAGAAACTCAGATAATCAGATAAAATTTGTGAAAGCATACAATGTAAGAGGTTATATGGTGTAATTATAATGTTTGTAGTGTAGGAAATTTACTTCTTGAGTTGATTAGGTACTGTCTGGTCCAGGAACTTGTCTGCACATCAGGATTGTTTATTGCCAGACATTTATCACATAATTTCGGATTTGCTTAGAAAATTGGCTCAGTTTAATATAAGTCTTTTGGGGTCTTAAGTCAGAAAACTAAAAATCTTTGTTTTGTTTCCAATTTTACAAACATTTGTTCCTCGATTCCTCTGAACACATTACTTTAAGTAGTGAAAAGTTACCACTAGTCTAAATTGGGATTGATTTTATTTAATTTTTACAATTCTTAATGACAGTGAAATCTGGTACATCCTAGCTTTAAGTGCCAATATATGATTGTTTTGATGTTAACTAACAGTGAAATCTGGTACATCTTAGCTTTAAGTGCCAATATATGATTGTTTTGATGTTAACTAACAGTGTAACAGGACAATTTTATTGATTGGTGTTTCATGACATAGGTAATTAAAGAGAGTATATGAACAATCAAATTGTCAGGAAACCTGTAGAGCTGTGGATGGTATAATGCTTCCAGGAATAAACGTTATTACCATTCCATTTTCTCTTTCTACAGTAGACTGGCAGCTTAATTTGCAATCAACTAGTCTAAATTCAGTCATCGATTTTGAAAGGGTGACTCTATCTAATCTGGTCTAATCAAATAACTCAGAAGAAAATTTGGCAGGCAAGTTTGAAAGCTAACTAATCGAAACTAAATTTTGTCTTCTAGATAAAAGTTTCTAGATTTTTTATAATAGTGTCATTGACTCTCTTTAGCTTGATTTCTTTAATTTTTAATTTACCTGAGAAATTGAATGGATTTGACTGAAGGCGATGAATTGTTCACAATGTGCAACACATTTGTCAATTTTTAATTTTGCGGTAAATGATTTGTAAGTTATTGCCCTTATTTGACGGCAAGATTCTTTGAGAAACAGGGCCAGAAAATTAAAATAGATCTTAAAAAGGATAAATATTTAGTATGGCCTGCAGTAGTTTAACATCTCTAACTATATTGATATTTATAATTGATATGCTGTATATCAAACCAATCTGATGTCTTTAATATTAATCCCTACCCTGGGGACAGTTTTCACCCCACAGTAAATACTGTAATCATATATTTATTAAGGTTCATTAGTCTGTAATTGTTAGGGTGTTAACAGATTTAAAGCGCTAGTATGACAGTTGTAGTTGTATATACACTGTTAATACAGTTATTATAATACCATAATTATAGTCTTTACTATTACCCTTACATCATTTAATAAATCAACTTTAAAGAACAAGATTGACAGAGGTCTTTTTAAGTTCATCAGCCATTTTGTCTCCAGTTAAACTGTCATCTCAAATAAATCAGAGCACCCACATTTTATGATTAGGCTATCTTTGATCTAAAATAATAATACATGTTATAAATATAATAGGTGAGCTTAAAAGTTTAACCAGTTTTCAAGAAAAAGACAGTAAAGTGGCAAAAATTGTAGGAGAAAGTGAAAGAGGGCTTTAAATGAAGGCTGTAGTTGTCAGTCACTTAAAAAGTTATCTAGGGTCAAGAAAAAGAGGATGCGGTCAAAAAGAGGAAAACGCCTTAAGTTCATCTAATGATGTCAATTGCTATTTAATTTAATTAATATTGTCATAGATTGTGAATAATCAAGGATAAGAAGTGCAGCCAAAGCTAGCTTATTTATTGTTAAGCACCTTCTTCATCAACGTAGTATGCAGAAAGTAAAACTCATTATTGATTTTAATTTCCCATTATGCATGTAAAATAAAACTGTTTGATTGACTTAGAACTGAAAACATTGAAACCTATAGAATTATGTGGAATTTAAGTTCTTATAATTTAAAAAACTTCTCCAAAATTGTTAATGATAAGGTCTCTGTGAAAAAACACAAGTTCAGATTGATTTCAAATCTTCAAAAAATCCATCTTATTCAACCACTTGCTGTATTTATCTTTTCTAACCTCTGAGAATTTAAAATTTGGCAAATAGCCCGAGACACTGGTAGAATATGGTACAGGTTGATAAAACATTGAAATGTTATTAATTTAAACAACTTTCCAATGATTGGTGAATTCAATCAATATAACCAGACAATTTAGGAATTAATGTTGATTCCTTTTATCCTGCAATTGAAAATCAATTATAATGAAACAGTCTTCAAGACCTTAAAAAATATGTTTTTTGACAGATTTCAAGCTAATAAAGAAATGAAAAAAATGTCAAATCTATCTTCTGTCATTAACCAGACTTTTTATTATGTTGGCTGTAGAGAAATGTTACCACTGGAGCAATTTTGGTAAGATTGATTTGTAGAAAGTTTCACCAAATGGACAAATATTTTTTTTATTTTCCTTTCATACTTTCTTTACCAGACTTTTACTATCCAAGATGGACAAGAGCATACAGCAACATAATTCAACCATAGCATTAATGACTAAAGATTTTTAGATCCAAAACCATTTGTGACTAAATTCAACTACAATATGTGCCTTGTAGATACAGAGTTTCAGAAACATTATAGCTTTTAAAATAGATATAACTATAAAATCACTTGGATTGATTGATCCCACTGCAGTTAGTCTCTGCACAGTGGCGTTTCCACCAAGAATTAAGTCTGACCTGGTTTTGAAGCCCCAACTTTCAAATTCATCGTTGAATATAGTGGAAAATTGTGACAATTTTGTGGGCCTTACTCACCAAATGATTCTAGAAAAAGCCACCGTCTCTACATCAATCTGATTTCTTGACATTATATTGATGCAAGTTAACAACTTTCTGAGATTAGGCCCCAGGAGTTTGGCTTTTAACATTACATATAATTGAATACACAGCAAGTGAAATTTCATTCCAAAAACTTGCACATAGTTAGCTTAAAATAGTAACATTACAAGAACCATGTTAAATGATGGAACCTTAGGACTAAAAACACTTGCTACAATAATTGCTTGCCAAATATATTTCACTCAAGAATGCTACCTAGAGAATTTATAATGTAAATTTTTATAAACTTGATTTGAAATTTACAAGAAGAATAATATATCACTTACTTGTTGACAGAAAACTACTCTAATGCCATTATCATTTGTTACTTTAAATACAAGAATCTTATTGTTATGGCTTCTGCATGCCTGTAAATCATGCCTCCTGAATCTAGATAGACTCTAGCATCCAGCATTGCAATTCCTGGAGAGCTCATAGGATTATATTTTATAAACTATAATACATAGTATTTTCCAATTTTTCATGGGCATTGGAACAAGGTAAGTCGGTTGTGACCTATACTAATTACAAAATGATGCATGCAGGTAACACCTGATAATCCATATTTAAAGTTAAAGTTGTTTGGCCTATATCTTCTAGTCACCACTTTTACCAGACTGTAAATACTGATACATGGAGCAATGGAACCAATATGCAAAAATGTCTGTTGAAGAAAAGCTTTCAGGATTACTCACTGGAAAGGGTATTTCATATTACAAGGCTTTTCTAAATGCATAGACAATTACAGCTGTCAGTGGTGTAGCCAGGTTCACGTCCGAANGGGGGGGGGGGGGGACATTTCTGAGTCATAGAGCACAGTTATTCTGAAATATGCCTTTTCGCATCCACAATATGTTGGCAAACTAATTTAAGGAACTACATCACAATATTGTGAAATATTTTGCCATCAGTCATTTATAGAAAGGTCATGATAAATGATTTCCTGTGTCAAAGACCTTCTTATTTTGCAAGTTTTAAGCTTCCAATGACAACAAATTACTGGAATTTACTGGAATGCATGTCCAGAATTAATATTGCTGTTTTCCCT